AGTTTGTTAGATTGGATGTTTTGGAGCCCAGTCGGGTTCTTGCTTGCTTTGTTTCTCGGTCTTCTTTATATGATTGCATTAGATAGCATCAGTATGACAACCCCCATTTGTTTGTCCTTAAGGACACGGTATAGCACAGCGATGCCAAGGAGGTGTCAATCGGAGATGACGGTGTGTTGCGGATATAGGTCCGATTATGTGTGCCCAATGTGGATGCGTTACATGAGTTTATCCTTCAGGAGGCCCACAGTTCGCGGTACTATATTCATCTGGGTGCCGCTAAGATGTATTAGGATTTGAGGCAACATTATTGGTGGAGGAGAATGAAGAAAGATATAGTGGAGTATGTAGCTCGGTGCCTAAATTGTCAGCAAGTGATGTATGAGCATCAGAGGCCAGGTGGGCTACTTTAGAGACTTGAGATTCCGGAGTGAAAATGGGAGAGTGTTACCATGGACTTCATTGTTGGGCTCCCATGGACTCAGAAGAAATTTGACGTTGTATGGGTGATTATGGATAGGTTGACCAAGTTGGCTCATTTTATACTGGTGGGGACTACCTATTCTTTGGAGCAACTGGCTCAAATCTATATCCGTGAGATTGTCCTACTTTATGGCGTGCCTGTATCCATCATCTCTGATAGGGGCATGTAGTTCATATCGCACTTCTAGAGAGTCGAATAGCATGAGTTAGGCACGCGGGTTGAGTTGGGTACAGCATTCCACCCCCAGACGGACAGACAGTCTGAGCGCACCATTCAGATCTTAGAGGATATTCTTCATGCTTATGTTAAGGATTTCGGGGGTTCTTGGGATCAGTTCTTGCCGCTTATGGAGTTTGCCTACAATAACAGCTACCAATCGAATATTCAAATGGCTCCTTATGAGGCCCTATATGGGAGGCGATGCCATTCTCCAGTTGGTTGGTTTGAACCGAGTGAGGCTAGATTATTGGGCACAGATTTGGTTCGAGATGCCTTGGAGAAGGTCAATTTGATCTAGGATCGGCTTCGTACAACACAGTCTAGGCAGAAGAGTTATGCCGATTGGAAGGTTCGTGATGTAGCATTTATGGTTGGAGAGTGAGTTTTGCTCCGGGTTTCACCCATGAAGGGTGTAATGAGGTTCAGGAAGAAGGGCAAGTTGAGCCCTAGGTATATCGGGCCTTTTGAGATCCTTGAGAGAGTGGGATAGGTAGCCTACAAGCTTGCATTGCCACCTAGTCTATCTACAGTTCATCCGATGTTCCATGTTTCAATGCACCGGAAGTATCACGGTGATCCATCCCATGTTTTATATTTCAGCTCAGTCCAATTGGATAAGGATTTATCTTATATTTAGGAGTCAGTGGCCATCTTGGACAAGCAAGTCTGTCAAGGGGCTTTGATTCCTTTTGTATAGGTTGGATTTCTGGTGACACGAAAGCTGAGGTCAAAGAACATTGCTTCACTGAAGGTTCAGTGGAGGGGTCAACTAGTCAAGGAGGAGACTTGGAAGGCCGAGCCTGATATGCGTAGCGGTTATCCTCATCTTTTTGTTACTTCAGGTATGACTCTATACTCGTTCGAGGACGAATGTTTGTTTTAAGAGGGGGAGGATGTAATGACCCGGCTGGTCATTTTGAGTATTTTAGCCCCGTTTCCCTATTTATTGCATGCTCTATGTTATATTGTAGTTATGTGACTTGTCGGGGTGGTTGGTTCGATTTCGGGTGAGGTTGGAAGTGAATTTAGATACTTAGTCCCAAAGTTTAAAGCTTAAGTTGAAAAGGTTGAGTGGAGTTTGACTTTTGTGTAGACGACTCTGGAATAGAATTTTGATGGTTCCGGTAGCTTTGTATGGTGATTTTGAACTTAGGCATATGTCCGGATATTGATTTGGAGGTCCGTAGGTCGTTTTGGCTTAAATTGGCGAAAGTTGGAAAGTTGAAGGTTTGGAAGATTGAGGACTTTGACTGAGAGTTGACTTTATTGATATCGGGTCCGGATTTCGGTTTCAAAAGTTGGAAAAAGTGTGTTGTGTCATTCTTGACTTGTGTGCAAAATTTGAGGTCATTTGGAATTGGTTTGGCATATTTCAACATTAGTTTTGGAAGTTGGAAGTTTATTAGTTCATTAGGCTTGAATCGATGTCATTCGTGGTTTTGGTGTTGTTTGATGTGATTTGAGGCTTCAATCGAGTTCGTATTGTGTTTTAGTACTTTTTGGTATGTTTGGACAGAGATTCGAATTGAATTTGGTACCATTTGGCACTTGGTTAATTGTTGAAACACTGCTGAGTCTGGTGAAATCGCACCTAGGCACTCGCAGGTGCGGCACCACAGATGCGGCCTTAGATCCGCAGAAGCGAGGTTTGGACTAGTGCACTAGTTCCGCAGGTGTGGGGTATGGAACGCAGATGCACCTCCGCAGAAGCAGAGAAGGCACCGTAGATGCTGAATCTAGGCCTTTGGTATTGGACCGCAGGTGCGGTTGATATTTAGCTTAAAGTATATATATTTATATGTATATCGCCTCATGTTTTACTTGTGTTTCATGGATTTCGGATGTAAAATGTGTTGAGTTATATTAATTCGGGATGTTTTTATGTGTAGGAATCATCCGGAAGCAATCGGGGCCGAAAGGTGCGAGATTAGAGCCAAAACGGAGGAAAATGGGAAAAGTTGGATTTTCAACGCCACAGGCAGCGCTCCACGCCACCTATGGCGCCAGTGGTAGAAACTTCAATAAGCCAGCACCAGCGCCAGCGTGGGACGCTGGGCTAGACGTTGGTGATGGGAAAGTTATCCAAGTTTGCCCGGGACAAGGTTATTTCATCCCTAGACCTACCCAACGTGTATAAAAGCAAGACTAAGCTTATTTTTAGAGGGGAGACGCCACTTTGAAGAGAGAATACACACGAGGAATGTCCGGGAGCGAGTTGATCTCAGTTTTCTTCATCTTTTCTTAGTATTTTCAATTATCCAACACTTAGGAAATTGTTTGCTATTATCATGAGTGTCTAAAATCCATAGTTCTGGGGTTGTGATTTAGCCATGAATATTGTTGTTTAACGTTGACTTAACCTTGATTACAATTCATCAATATATGGTTGTTTCTTCAATTCTGTAATTAATTGCTTAATTGTCTGGAAAATAGTTAGGTTATATTTACTATTTATACTATACTTGGGAAAGCCTTGTTTAGATTAGAGAAGAATTGAAGATAGCACGATCTTAACTCTGAGAGGGGGCCGATTTGTGGTTAGGATAGAAATATACCTAGTCACCGTGCTTAATTAAATATCGTAATCTTAATGCACTATTAATAGATTGATTTTATAGGAATATAGGCGTTAATCTATTTTGAATAGGCGAGTAGTACTTCGGGAGAAGGCTACGAGAGCCATTGTTCGATTAATTAGCAACCATGAGTGAATTCTATGAAAGGGAGAGTAATTTTGCTGCATGATAATTTAGTTACTAGTTATAATTCTTGTTTAGTATAATCATACCTTTGAACTCGAATTGGCTTGACTGAATAACAATCTTAGTGAATTTAGTGGGTAGTTAATACAAGTCTCTATGGGTTCGACACTCGACTTATCATTTTATTACTTGTAAGATCACGTATACTGGCGTGTGCGTTTGTGAGCAACAAGTTTTGGGCTCCGTTGTCGGGGACTTGAATATTGAGTACTTTCTAGTTTTTGCTTTAATTGTTTATTTCGTCAAGTCTAATGTTACTTGATTGTTGCTCTACTCTTAGGAACCTTGATTGAATGCGAAGGGTCAGAAGCTAGGACATACTTCAAGGCTTTGACCCCGAACCTGAGAGAACATTTCATAGGAGGTTGAGGGAAGCAAGGGACACAAATAATCTTCAAGCACTTGTTCAATTTCCTGTGAACATGGTAGAGGAGCAACATATGGTTGTTCAGGAGGTGGCGATGCCCAGCATTGCTAATGTCACCTCCAGCATTGTGAAGCCCAGAATCACTGGGCACTTTGAGCTGAAACAGAGCATGATCGAAATACTTCATGCGAATAGGTAGTTTTTGGGTCTTCCACACGAGGATCCACAATAGCATATCCTGAACTTCTTAGAGATTAGTGATACTTATATCACTAATGGAGTCACTCCAGACTATGTGAGGCTCACACTTTTTTCGTTCTCTCTATTGGGCGAAGCAAAGCGATGGCTGAAGGTAGAACCATTTAATTCTATTACATCATGGAATGATCTGGCAAGGAAATGTTTGGCAAGGTTCTTCCCTTCATGCAAAACTGCAAAGATCATAAGTGAGATAGTCGCCTTCAAACAGAAAGTGGGGGAGTCTTTATACTCAGCTTGGGAGAGGTTCAAGGGGCTGCTTAGAGACTATCCTCATCACAATCAGACAAACGAAGTGTTAGCTCACACTTTTATAGAAGGGCTACATCCTGAGACAAAGATTGTGGTAGATGCTGCAGCTGGAGGTCAAGTGTTGGAGAAACATTTTGATGAGATATATGCGTTGTTGAACAAATTCTCCAAAAGCAATCCTGATTGAAAATGAGAGATGGGCAGACACACAGTGCAAAAATCTGTAGGGGTTCTCGAGTTAGATGTCGTCTCGACATTATCAGCGCAGATTTCCACATTGACCAACCAAGTCAATCAGATGACCTTGGTTATTAACAATCAACAAGCTCAGCCAGTGAAACAGGTCCAGATATTTTGTGAAGTCTGTAGAGAAGGTCACATAAGCAATATATGCCCAGCAAATCCAAAGTCTGTATATTTTGTGGGTAATGCAAATCGAGGCCAGGAAAATCAGTATGGGGACACTTACAATCCCAACTGTAGGAACCATCCAAACTTCTCTTGGGGTGAAAACCAAGGTGCTCAGAATCAGTACAGGCCACAAGCACCTCAACATCAATATAGACCACCTCAGGCTGAACAACATGCAAACTTGACAAGTCACCTTGAGGAAATGATAAAGAAATTGATGACTGACTAACAGACCCAAACAACAGAAATGATGAAGAAAGTGATGGCTGACCAGCAGGCCCAAGAAGCAGCGATGAGAAATTTGGAGCAAAAAATGGGACAACTTGGCAGTGCCCAAAATACTCGACCAACTAGGGCTCTTACTAGTGATACCGAGCCTAATCCTAAAGCTCAAGTCAATGTGGTTACCTTGAGAAATGGAAGAGTGTTAGAAGAAGTTCCAAAGAAAAAGAAGTATATGGCTAGTCTTGAAGGAGAATTAGTTCCCAAGCTAGTTGAGGAGAATGAGAAAGAGAATAAAGGATCAGAGCCAGTAATTGTGACAAGGCCACCACCTCCGTTTCCACAAAGACTACAGAAGCAAAAAGATGATGCTAAGTACAAGAAATTCTTAGATATTTTGAGCCAAGTGCGTGTGAATTTGCCTTTGGTGAAAATTTTGCAGGAAGTGCCTAAGTATGCAAGGTATCTCAGAGATATTGTGGCAAACAAGTGAAGACATATAGAGTTTGAAACAGTTGCAGTTACTGAAGAGTGCATTGCTAAAGTTGAGAGTAAACTTCCTCCTAAGTTAAAGGATCCTGGGAGTTTCACAATTCCTCTATCTCTGGAAAAACAAGAAGTTGGTAGAGCCCTGTGTGATTTAGGGGCTAGTATAAATTTGATGTCATCCTCTTTGTTTAAGCAACTCGGATTGGGGGTGCTTAGACCTACTACAATTACAATACAGTTAGCAGATAGGTCACTAGGTATGCCATAAGAAATTATTGAGGATGTGTTAGTTCGAGTGGGAAAGTTTATTCTTCCTGCTGATTTTATTGTTCTTGATTACGAGGCAGATGAGGAAGTGCCCATTATTTTGGGGCGACCATTCTTAGCTACTGGTGGAGCGATTATTGATATGAGGGAAGGGAAGTTAAAGATGAGAGTTGACGATGAGGATGTCACTTTTAATGTGTACAAGGCACTTGAGCTCCCTAAGCATTATGAAGATTTGTGCATGATTACTGTGGTCGAATTGAAGGGGATAGAGCAGAGTTCTTATGTGAATTATAGTGATCCAGATGGGACAACTGAGTTAGAGGAGGTGGTATTGCAAGCTGAGTGTGTAAAGATGATTGAGAAAAGAGCCAGAGAAGAAAGAGGAGATCTTCTGAGAGCGTGCAAAAATGCTAGACTTCATGGGAGAAAGAAGAAGAGAAAGTGCCCAGCCTGAGCAGAGTAGCAGAGTCGTGCCACGACTATAAATAAGGCGCTTGTTGGGAGGCAACCCAACATGTATTTTATTTATTTATTTATTTATTATAGTGTTAAGTTTTGTGTTGTTTTTGTTTTGCAGAGTATGGGAAGTCTGAGTACCCGAAGTTGAAGCTGAAGAGCATGTTTGTGCTTAAGTGTGAGGTCATTCCGACCCTTAATATTGAGGATCATGTCCGAGCTAGGCCCAAGAGGGTCTCAGGGAGTATTTCTCACCCTTGTTTAATATTTTTCTCTGTCATCATGCATCTGGGACTATGCATATGCTAAGTGTGGGGTGGGAGAACTACTACTTATGATGTACTTTGTATAAATTGTATCAATTTCTCTCTTTTATTAGTTTTACTTAGTCTAGTTTGTTTTAGAAAGAAAGAAAAAAAAATATGCAAAAATTCAAAAAGAAAAAAAATATATCAGAAAAAGCTCGGACTTTTCCTGACGATGGATCTGTTGGAAAATTTTCTTGAGGGATAAAGTCCGATTCAAATTATAAAAAAAAAAAAAGAATTTTTTTTAGGATAGGTAGGTAGTATCCCTTGGTTTTTCTTTGGGCGTCGGTTCTTTTCCAAGGGTGTAGCTCGAACCGGGTACTTTATTATTTTTTTAGGAGTAGGGTAGGAAGAAACTGAGTTGCTCTGACATACCTAGTAACATGTTTGGTGCTGGCATATTAGGTTATGACATGTATTCTATCTGCCCATACATTTGAGTTGAATTGTGATGCCTGAGTAAAGTAAATAGCCTATTTTGTGACGTCTTTTCTCAGTTGTTTGACTTGTATGCTACATAATGCATTAATGCCTAAATTTCTCAATTATATATGCTTGCTTGACTTGAGAGTTGAACAGAACCGTCTTGATTGTGTCATGTACAATATGTATGTGAGGAATTGTGATTCTCTGTGCTATTCTGTGTAGTCTAGAACTTGCCCCGTATAATGCATGCAGCTTATATAGTATACTTATTAGATATTATGCTCATTTTGGAAGAGTATATTTGTGGCATACACTAGACTTGCATACCACCAAGTTACATGGTCTTGGAAACTATTTTTGGTCGATCAGGACAAGGAGTTGTCTTGCCAAAGTCACGTGCCGTGTCGTTGCCATTCAAAAGGTTTGCACTTTGTAGTAGGAAGTCAATATTAATATATGAATCGATATAAATAATTTAAATGCATGTAGGTAATGTAATTTGTAAAATTTACTCTCTACAAATGACTATTTATAGGGTACTACTTGAGTACTTGTAGTAATCTCCCATCTTATTACGCTTCATCACTAAATTGTATACAGTCATCTTAATCTTAATTTTATGAGGATATGTCAAACTCACTTCTGAAAATGTGTAAAACTAAACGTAATTATAGAAAAAATTTAAGAAAAACCAATAACACCGCCAAAAAGACTCCTTTTTATACTTTCTACTTTTTTCATTAAAAGAATTACGCATCAGTCATTTTTGCTATATCAAAAATTAAAAGGATAATAAATTAACTTGCAACCATTTATAAATTCAGTGGTAGTCCAATCCTATCAAAAGTCATTCCCTTTTCTATCCTTTTTTCCCTTGTACTATTCATAATTTAAGAAAGAACTTAATGAAAAAAAGCGTATATGATAATAAAAAATGCCATTATAAATTTTAAAAATTATTTAATTAATATACACTAATAATGTTAGCTATCAATATTTTAAACTAATTATAACAAGTTATTTACTACATTTAAGATTTCAAAATTAAAATTACCTTGTAAAATTACTTTGCTTTTATAGGTTCTTTTGGCATCGTGCACGGGGCTTAAACTCATTTAAGAATTACCATTATAAAATTTTGAAAAATGGAGAAGGCAGTCACATTATTATAAAAAATAAAAATAAAAAGCCAAAGGCCTTTCTATATAAATGCTCTCCCGCTTCTGTTGGATTTTCATATCATACTCTTTACTCTCTCTCTCTCTCTTTCTCTGTGCTCTGCTCCGCCTACCCAACTTTAATCACACAGGTACTTTTACGCACTGAATTTCTGTCTGTTCCATGCAACTTCATGTTATCATTTCTCTTAATACTTGTTAAATTTTTTGATTGGTTATTTGTTGATTAGATATGCTATAAGGCATCTTTAAATCAACAATTTTTCGGTGGATCATTGGAGCATTTTTGGATCTAACATCTCGTCTCTTTTGAATTCTTATGAATGTATGTTCTGTGACATTTACCATCGTCATTTCTTAGAAGGAATCGAGGAAATTAATAGACAATTTTCAGGGTCCGTTGTTTTTTTCCTTCCCCAGCTAGTTTTAGCTCATGCTAACTATAGTGTCGTCATGTCTCTTTGGGACATGCAACAAAATTGGAATAACACAAAGAAGATTAGCGTGGCCTCTGTGCATGGACTATATGCCCAAATCAAGAAATGATTCACATTTTTAATAGAGAAAAAAAAAAGAGAGAGACTAAGTATCATCCTTAGCCCGTTACTATAAATGACAAAAATAGAGGCAGATATGCGGTAGTTGAGGTTAGATAAGTGTTGGAATTCAATAGTTGTAAGAAGAATTGCCTTATTTCCTGCCGCAGACAAAAACCTGGTATTTAAGTGTGAACATGGTATTTAAGTGAAGGGTAGAGGGTTGCACATTATCCACCAAACCGAGAGCCATTGGCACTCAGGGATTTCTCGGTTATAAAAGGTTGCCTTATTTAGCTAATTTTTTTCAATTTTGACTTGTAATTCCGTCCCTTTAACTTCCCCTATGCCTTCCATTGTTTCGTTTTGTTCCTAAATCCTGTTGGATTTCACATCAAGAAGTTATACCCATTTGTTGAAGACAACTCATGCTTATCTCTGATTTTCTAATAATTAGTAGCAGTATTTTAGGTCATGTGTTTCTTGAATATTGGTGGTTGTGCATTATTATTTTGAGAAAGGTAACGATTTGGTGGTTGTGCATTATTTTGTTGATAAAGAGAAATTCTGATTTGTTTTGAGTGGAACAGACTACCATTGACTCAGGATGGCTCCAGCAACTGCAGAATCAATCAAACCTAGAGGTAACACTTTTGTTCTTTCTGCACATTGCTTAGGAAATTTATAGGTTATTTCTTAATCTCACGGCATAATAGATTAGCATTGTTGTGATTTCAATATGAGCCAGCACCATGATCACTATGTTTCTGTAGTTGCTATTGGTTATAGTGTTATCAAAATCTTGCATGATAAGAAATAGGTCTACACTTTGGTCCTGCGGAGCTAGACACATGTAAAAAGGGGAGTACTTCATTCAGTTTCGTGTCCAAACTTTAAAGCGATTGTTGGATATAACTTTAGTTTTTGCACTTATATTTGAACTTCCGTTTCAAAATATTGTTAAATCTGTGTTGTACTTTTGTACCATAAATGCGAAATTTTCAAATGCATATTTCATCTATGCATTCCTAGTTGGGGCCGTCAGAGTGGAAGTGTTCTTTTGAAGTTTGTTATCTTAATTAGAGATTCCGAAAATTGGCAAGTAAATCTTTTTTTACTGCAACTATGACATTTCTACGTGTGTTCCTATACCAAGAAACAGTGTCTTTTTCATTAAGCGTCGTGCCTCTTACCATTTGCTTATTATTGTTCCTTCTTTTTTAGAAAATTGACACCAGAAGTTTCTGTAAACCCAGGCTTATTTTGCATTTTGCTTTCAATTTCAGGAGCACAAGGTTCCTTAAATTCTGGTTTCTCATTATTGCCTATTCTTTGTGCTTTTTGTTTAACAGATGTTTTTGTTGTTGGTGTTGCCCGTACTCCGATGGGGGGCTTCCTTGGCTCTCTTTCATCACTGTCAGCTACTAAACTTGGATCAATCGCCATCGCTGGTAGGAATCTTAACTAATTTGATGTAATTCTTTCATTATAGAAAATTATTGTCAAATTGCGGTTAGAATTTTTTTGAGATATAATTTTGATCTCTCTTTTTAATGCAACTATAGGTGCTCTGAAGAGAGCAAATGTTGACCCAGCACTTGTAGAAGAAGTTTTCTTTGGAAATGTCCTCAGTGCAAACTTGGGACAGGCTCCAGCCAGACAAGCAGCATTGGGTGCAGGAATACCCGATTCAGTGATTTGCACTACCGTGAACAAAGTTTGTGCATCTGGAATGAAAGGTGTGCACTGCCTAGTCGAAGTAGATTCATTTCCTGGAGAAACCCCCACCCCCCTTCCCCAAAACCCTTTTTGCAACTGTTATAAGAGCCAAGAAGATGTGTATGGTTTGTAACTCCATGTTACTTTATATGGCTTTGCAGCAACTATGCTTGCAGCACAGAGTATCCAGTTGGGCATCAATGATGTTGTTGTGGCTGATGGAATGGAAAACATGTCTAATGTCCCTAAGTACATTGCAGAAGCAAGGTTTGTTTTTTCAAAAGTTCCGCTAGTACAATTGTTGTTCAGACTTTGGTTCTCCATCCTCCTCCCAAGAAAAGAAAAAAGAAAGAGTAAGATAGAATAAGATTTTCTTGGAGTCACAACTATAAGGAGAATAATGGCCTTTTCCGAGCTGTTTGCTACATATCTTTAAGGGGAGTCTCATCATAACGTTGACTAACTCCCACATTCCCTTTGTTTCATTTAACCATGCACTGTCCTGTTCGTAAGTTTTACGACAAGCTTAATAAACATCTAAAAGCAACCTAGTATTGCTGTACTTGCTATTCCTTTCACTTATGGTTTTCCATGCCTTCATATTAACCATTTCCTGCATCTGCTCTTTTTCCACCATGAATATTTGACGTCTTACTCCCTCACCATAGAGTTTTATAATGTTTACGGGTGTTCTGAGTGGCAGACTTGTTTTACCTCTCAATTCATTTCTGCTTTCTTATAAGTTCTGATTACATTGTTCGTAATATGTAATGGCCTAAATTGGCACACTTGCAGGAAGGGATCTCGTCTTGGTCATGACAGTCTTGTTGA